TCTTTTATCTAAATTTTTATTTTTTATCTCAATTTTTCAAAGAAAACTTTGTATTGCTAGTATAGCTTACTGCTAACTCCTCTACTGCAAATTTGAAATGTATATATCTTTTTAAAAAATAGGATGCAAGAATCTACTTACTGTACCCCTCAAAGTCATGATATAGTGTAGTGGGATTTGAACCAAACTTCAAGGGAAAAGCAAATTTGGACCGTATCTAGAAGAATAATATATAAGTTGCCGCTTTGACACAGAGCTCTCTGCTAAGGCTTACAAGGGCTGTCATGCCTTGTGACCTACTTGCCGCTTGTGTCAAGAGGCGCCACGTGGGGTTCGGTGCCCTTCTTCTAAAGTGTTGCCTTGGTTCCCCCTTGAAGAGGGCAGGTGACCCCAGGCCTGTAAGGATGCTGGCAGTAATGAATTTTTATTTTTCTGTAAGCCTCACTCTAAATCAGATTCTACATTATTTTAGTGTCTATATATAAAAAGATGACCAATTGAAATTCAAATGTATGAGAATGAAGGTTTTCTGTCCAACACAGCGGCCTTTGTTTTTAGCTCTAGTAGGTACTTTGCATCAAAACAAGGCAGCTTTCCTCTTTGCTTCTGCAATCACCATGTGTGTCTGGATAGCAAATACATCTTCACTGATGCATACCAGAAGTGAGATAGAGTGTGCACTAGTTTTCCAGTTGTATTTTTTAAGTTTGCTGAGAGATTTAGATGTGTAGTCTTAAGAAAAACCAAAGTATTCTTTCTGAAACATGCAAATGTGTCTTCATCACCTAGGAAACTATTATGGGACACCCAAACCTCCCAGCCAGCCGGTCAGTGGGAAAGTGATCACAACGGATGCCTTGCAGAGCCTTCAAGCTGGCTCCAAGCAGTCGACCCCAAAGCGAACCAAGTCTTACAATGATATGCAAAATGCTGGCATAGCCCATGCAGAGAATGAGGAGGAGGAAGATGTTCCTGAAATGAGCAGTAGCTTCACAGGTAAAGGCGGGCCCCTGCATGGAAGTGGGGGAGGGGGAGGTGCGAGGAGTAGGAGCAGGCTGCCGCTTTGGAGGGGCTTCAGGGTCTCCAGAGTCATCCAGACCACCCAGTGCTGGGAGAAGCGTTGTCCTGTCCTTGGGCTTCTTCTCAACGATATTTTAACTTTCCCCAAATATTTTAATCAAGGTGGAATATGTATATTTTTAAAAAAGGAGCCAAGAAATGCCAGCTTGATTTGTTTTACTCAAAATGATGTATTTAACTTATTTTACTCTTTGGATTTTCTTGGTCTTGAAACATCTCATGTCCATATAATTATGGGTGATTATGATAATAAAGAGAAATACGAGAATTTATTTTCTCAGTTTAATGTCAAGATGCTGTGTGGAGCACCATCCCTTTCTCTCACACCTTACTCTAAACACCTTTCAAGGGTAAACGGAAAAAAAATTGCAAGGTCTGACCATGCACATGCATTTATTATGGAGCATGTGGAGCTGATTGCACTGTATGCGCGTGTCTCCAGTCAGAGCTGTGTACCTCCAGCTTCGACATGCTGTGTGGGCCAGGGAGGGAGTTCCAAGAGCAGCACATCGGGACAAGGTCATTTGGTCTAGGTGTTGCCCAGCTCTCGGGAGCACCATACAGAGGTACAGGGGTGTTCTGGGTGGGTGCAGTGACTCAGAACCACTAAGGCATATTTTCTACTGCCTCAGGTTTGACCTTATGTAATAACTTGGACTATAAGAGCCGTGTATTGCATGTGTTACTCCAGCCTATAATTTGACTCAGCAAAGCGTTTTGTTTCTTCAATTTTTCTAATATTTTATTTATTTATTTATTTTAATTTGTGGAACCAGGGATTGAACTCAAGCTCTTGTGCTTGCCAGGGAAGCTTTTATTCTACTGAGCCATCTCCCTGGCCCCTTTTTACTTCTTTAGAGTGATAGCTATGGACCAACCTACCGTCTCCATCATAGTACACCTTCCTCTCCTATGGTCCTTTTCTCACAGCGCCATGCTCTCACCATTAGTTTGGTAGCCTGAGCCCCAAGCGTCGGAGAGATTGGTAGGCTTGCATTTTCCCCAGCATAGAATATTCAAGGAAAAGTTTCTTATTTTGAATACTGTCTGCAGGCGGTGTGGGTCTCTCTGAGGTTTCATAAAATCTGTCGACCAAGTTGAAAACCCTAAAATTTGTTGAGATGGAAGTTACAAAGTTCTTTGATGACTTTATTACTACAGCAATATCATGGCTGAGCCCTTTTGCAGGAAATAGTGGATGAAGGAGAAGGAGATATTTAATACCATGGTGTGGTTCTTGGTATTTGTTTTCTTACGGACATTTTGGTAGCTCACCTGTACATTGACAGGCCAGAATTAGGTTGCTTCTGCATTTTTCCTGAGGACTCCCAGATTCGCTCTCATGCAAATTTCCATTTTCTCGATTGGAAAGTGATGGACCAACAGCTCCACAGTTACAGTATCTAAAATAAATTCACCACATTATGTCTGTCTTTATTAGAATTGACTGACTTCACCCCTTGACACCGTGTCATCCATTTATAATAGATCTCACCAAAATTAAAACTGATTATTAAAAAGTGTGAACATCTTTTTTTTTAAATCTAGTACTTTAATGTCTTGACACTTGATAAATAAGAATAACACTATCATATAACATAAATGTAGAGGGGCCACAACAAAGAGAAACCTCCGGGGAGAGGGTGCCAGGAGACAGTTGTGCCCAGCAGTTGTGTGGGCCTCCTGTGTGCCCTGTTCCACATTATGTGGGCTTCTCCAAAGAAGCAGGCATAGGGCACAGGAGCTAGCTCAGCAGCATGCGAACCTGCCTGGCATGCACAAGATCCTGAGTTCAATTCCTGGTACCACCAAAAAAAGCAAGCACAAAGTAGATATAACTGACGTAGGTCTTCATTGTTTCCTACTTCTAAGTTCTGGAAAAGCCATGTGCCTCGGACAGTCTGACCCCATATCATCCACACTTGAAATTCTGGCTTCTAAGCGCAGCACGTCAGCCCATGCCATGACTGCTGAAATCCCATGGTCATGAGTTAGTTTCTGCACAAAACAAAAACTCAAGTGGCCTCTGTGCCTTCACTAGTAAGACTAAAATGTCACCACTGAGGATCTGTCATGTACTTATTAACTGATACTCATTCTTTCAAAAATTGACATATCAATCAGTCCATGCTATGTGTGTGCAATTTGTTGTGTTGAAGCATTTTGTACTTTGAGCCAAACTAAATCTACCATGTACGTTAAGCCTAGCTTAACAGCAGCATAATGTGATCTGGGTGAGCCAGCTATAGTCAGCATCAGAATCACATCCAGAGGAAAAACCATGGGGGCCCATTAAAAATGATGCTCATCAGGATATCTGCTGTTACCTTTCCTGCCCTTTGCTCGGCTTTCTTGGCTGTCATAATGTTTCTAATTTTTTCATTTTTTGTACTGGGTCTCACTATGCAGTTCAGACTTGTAGTGATCCTCCTGTTTTCAGCCTCCCCAGTACCAGGATTACAGGCATGCAGCAGTGCGTAGGTCTCAGGGGCGGGCTCAGCACCCCCAGGCGCGGGGCCAGCACAGCCTGCTGTGCCAGGGATCAAACCCAGTCCTTGTGCTCGCCTAAGCAAGCGCTTAGTCCACTGAGCTAGTTCAGTGGCCCTTATGCTTGGCGTTTTTGAAGGACTCATAGCTGACACATCGGATCACTGGCACTGTCTGGAGGTCAGCCAGCTGTGTGGGCAGACGCAGGCCACCAAAGCTGGCCCTGCTCCCGTTCTGCAGCTGATGACCGAGGTTGGAGTACAAATACCCCACAGGATGGGCTGTGGGCCCCCAGACAGTGGGACTGTCTTCCACAGAACACAATTAATGGGCCTAAGTGGAGCCACTGAGAAAGAGAAGACTCCTTGTGTGATGTTAATAAAGACAGAATGATACTGTTGGCCAGTGCACAGTTGCTCATGCAGTCACAAAAAAGCTTTTCTAAAACTATTTTGCTTGTTTTCCACAGCTTGAAAATGATGTAATAAGCCTCCACAACTAAAACTTCTCTGATTTAGCCATTGATCACCTCCAGAAGATGACAAAGCATTGATCGTATTTCTAGGCTCTTTTCCTAGCACCCCCCATTGACCATTAGCTTGCTCGCGCTTTCGTTGGTAGGCGATGGTAAAGCCCTGTTTTGAACGTTAAACTACAGCCCTCGCAGAGCTAATGTTTCTGTACTACTGTGTGAAAGACACATTTCCTTATGCATTCTCCAGGGAGGTCAAGTGGCCTCTCCAGAGCCACAAAGTTCCAGTGAGTGTCACAAACACCATTCCAGTTCTGAAAGTCCAGCTCGAGTGTGCGTGCACTTTGGTGTGCTGTTGTTTTGCATCAGTCCTAACTGCCCTAAGCAGCCCGAGCTGTGTTGACCAATTTGCACAGTAAGAGGTGCACATAAGTCCAAGTGCATGTCCAGCTTAAGCTAAGCCTCGGGAAGGATTTTTGCACGCGAGCATGTACCCTCACAGCCTTTCCAAAAGCCCCCAAGAGAGAATGTGCATGCCTGTGTGCATGTTAGCTCATTTATATCTGGACACTTCTGGTTTACTATGAATACACATGCTGTTTGTGTGCATTATTGTTTTCAAACCATTCTCACATGTATCTTGTCTGCCTCCTGGAAATCTTGGGAGATAGCACCTCAGATGTTCTGTTCTCAGCTTCCTCGTGAGAACACTACAGGAAGTGCAGTCTGTGCCCCTGGGCTTCAGGTGCCAGCTTGCCGCGTCCCCATCTCTGCTCACTCCAGCATGCTCCTCTGCGTGCACTCCGTGGTGTCGTCAGCAGCCTGCAGTTACAAGTGTTAGCAGTGCTCCTGAGTGTTTTGTAAATCGAATAAAAGATTCTATATTTTTCAAAGTCCTGAGCATGTACCCAAGTCAGGGTTCCTTACTGAGGCTATGCATGCTTGAACCGGGCTGCGTCTGTCCCGCCCCTCGGATTTGGACTTTCCATCTGCATTCGGAAACTGCATCAAGATTCCCTCTAACTGGAAAGAAAACGAGGACACATAAAATAAAAACACAAGCCAGGCGTGATGGTCCACCTTTGTAATCCCAGGACTCTGGGAAGCTAAGGCAGGAGGATAACAAGTCCAAGCAAAGGGCTCAGTTCTGAATACTGTTGCTCCCAGGATCACACCTTCAACACAGACTTGGGGGACACAAGAGTCCACAGTGAGGCAACAGCCTGACAATTTAGTGACTTACCAAGATCTTGTATCAAAATAAAAAGAGGGGCTGAAGGTATAGCTCAGTGTGAAGGTTCTGGGTTCAGTCCTTAGTAATGCATAAATTAGCTAATTAAATAATAAATTTAAAAACAAACACTTGGATAATTTAAAATATCTAGTTGTGGAAGAGAAATATGTTTCTTCAGGAGATTAAAATTACTTAGACAGGGGCTGGAGAGATGGCTCGGTGGTCTAAAGCACCTACTTGGAACAAGCTTGGCAAAGCACAGGGACCGCGGTTCGATCCCCCAGCACCACATGCCAGCCAGCCCTGCCCCCTGGTGGGCTGAGCTGGCCCCACACACACACACACACACACACACACACAAAAAATAAAAAAAAAAAAAAACTAAAAAAAAAATAAAATAAAATTACTTAGACATGTTTCTAGCAAAACTAGTTTTTCTTTCTAGTAGTTTAGCTTTGGGAAGCCTAGCAGAATTGGGGAGGGGGTATTCTTGGTACAGGGAATTGAACTCAGAACCTTGTGCCTGCCAGGCAGGCACTGTGCCACCCTGGCCTAGAATTTTGGTTTTAACATGAATTAAGTATATTCAGTGTTAAACTGAGTCTCTTACATCAGGTAGCCCATCTATAGCACCTACCCTTTTCTCTTACACCCATTTTCTATGAAAGTGGCTCAATTAAAATTAATAGTGAAATTATTGATCCCTTCCTCGTGGTTTGCTGCCTCTTGTATAAATCTCTAAACATGAACACAAGTTGGGTGTAGTGACAGCCATTGTCTCTGTTACTTAGGGTGCTTGAGGAAATCCCCTTGAGGTGAAAAGATTGATTTCAGCCAGTTTCAGGGGCTCAGACGGTGTTCTTGGCTCCACCCTTGGTGGGCCTCTGGTAAAGCAGTGGGGAGTGTGTCTGGTAAGCAGGAAAAGACAGAGGACGTGGCCAGGAGCTACAGGTGCCCTTTCAGGCTTCCTGCCTGCTTTATGTGTGTGGGATATGTGGATGCCTTCGGTTCTGTGACCTGTGCATTGTGCCCCTTTGACAGATAGGAAAGTGCTCTGAAAGGTAAAGTTGGTTCCATCTACACAGTGGTTGACCTGTGGTCTCATGTCATAACCTACTTTTTCTGACTCCTTGTAACACTAGCAGTCTGGGCCAGACCTGCCCTAAAGGCAAAAATCAGTGACACTCTTGATAAGAGGGGGGCGGTGATGGTAGTGGCAGCTGGCAAGTGGCTCCAGCTGTGAATTAGACGCTGTTCTGAGGGCTTCACAGGCACTGAGTCATGTACGCCTCCCCGGCCTGTGCATTCGGTGTCGTCGTCATCTGCGTTTCCAGGTGAGGAAACGGAGGCGTGAATGTGGTCCTCACTAGCGAGTAGTAAAGCCAGGAAGCAAGCACAAGCCCTGAGGCTCTAGAGTCAGTCCTTGTAATCAAACTTCCACTTTTTGCTTGTGCCAGATTGCATTATTTGAAAAAAGAATTTTATTAATGAAAAATTGGAAGATTTCAAAAAATATATACAGATTTCCTTTTATAAAAAAGTTAGAGGTCTGAAATCCTAAACGCACTTTATGGTGGGCACTGAGTCCCTAGAGCGGTGGCCTTGTGCGCTCCGTGCCACCTGCATCCTTTGAGCCTGCGGGGGGAGGCTGGTCCTGAGGCACCGCCCCCTACCCAGCACGGTGCCACCGAGGCTGTGGGCATCGTGCCGCGTCAGAATGTCAGGCGCAGATGCAGAAGGTGAAGTGCACCTTTGTGCAGCTGATAGTCCATCTCACAGTTCCTTTTCGTTCTTTGAAAATTCCTTGTGTCTTCAGTGTCCACCAGCTAAATCACGGACATGTTTTTAGAATATGGTGTATGTTTTGAATTTGGCCCTAAACCTGACCTCCAGAGTAGGGCGCCAACAAGAGAAGCAAGGCTGAATGTTTTTATTCCTTCCAGGGGTTGAAGTCATGTTGTCACTGATCAGTCATTTCAGAGTGGGCAGTTTTTTGTTTTTCCCGTTTTGGCCCAAGTTCCTCTTTGTTCTCTCAAATTTATAGTTGCTTTATTCATCTGGATTCTTTGGTACATTTTGAAGAACATTTATAGTGGTTTCAGCAAGAAAGTGACTTGGGGAAGTGACATCACTGAAGAGGGCAGTCGGGCCTTGATTTCAGTGTGGAATTCAAGGCTGGGTGAGGGCTCTCAAGCAGCGTTCCCTGTCTTCCAGCTCTGCTCTCCTCCATGTGGCCCCATTTTTCAGTAGATCTTGCCATGCTGTGTGGAAGTGCCCACCAGCATCCACAGTCTAACAGCCTGTCACCCAAACTTCCCCAGCATCCAGAGGTCACATTCCAGAAAGTGTCCATGTCTGACCTTTATTGGTTTGCTTTAATTCCTGAAGTAACTGCAAAGGCAGGAACATTTTCCTGAGGTAAGAGTGTGACTTGGAGCCAGTCTCGGGGTAGGGGTGATTTCCTAAAGAGAGTTGAATGTGCTACTAGAAGATGAGTGGCTAGTGCAGGGTGGGAAAGACCTCCAGGCTGCTTCCTCAGAGGTGCTGGAGTTGGGGGACGTGTTTGCTCCTCACCCGGCAGGTCCTCCATCCGGTGCTTAGCTTGCCTTCATCTTGTGTGTCATTGGGAGCTGCTCATCAGAGACAACTTTGAGAACAGGCTTTTATTATTCTTCAGTCTGCTTTCACTCACTCAAAAATGTCTGCAGAGGAATTACTGTGGAAGATAGAAAATTACTGAGTTCCCTAAATATTATGTTTTAAGGCCCCATGGAGATTGACGTTTATTATCATCGGCTTCCATAGAAATGTGGCCAGAACGTCAATAGTGCTGCTGTGGACACACGGGTGACGTCACTCCTGATGCTTCCGGTCACTGAGAGGACGAGGAGGCTGGTGCTCTTGGAGCTTTATGTTAGGACCCGAGTGCCGCAGTCCACCCACACGGCATTGCTCTGGGGTGGCTGACTGCCTTGCGTTTCACAAGAACAGTCTCTTCTCTCCCAAAAGTCTCAGATCTGTAAGCTGTCTCCGTATTGTAAACTTCTTTGTACATTGCAGCTTAGTTTGTCAGTCTTTGATCTTTGCCAGTGTCTACAAAAAAATGTTTTAAATAATTTTTTAAATGTCCAAAGGGGAAAAACCCACCATTACCGTGTTTCCCATGTGGCTTTGCTTCCTGAGCTGCGAAGTCATATAGTATGAGTGGAATGAGGGGCGGTTCAGTCTGTGTTTCACAGGGCTCCTGAGTTGCAGAATCTTCAGGGGATCTTTCTGTGCTGTCTCCACGGTTCTGAGCAGAACCCTGCTGAACCCAGAGCCTTGCACGCGCTACGCAGGGTGCGCCGTGGGACCACATGCTTTTGTGCTTACCTGTCTTTTTCTGTGTCCCCCACAACCTGACCGCAGCCGATTCTGGGGACCAGGACGAGCACGCTCTCCGGGAGGCAGCGCTCTCATCTGCGAACAGCGGCATCGCTGCTGCCCCCGTCACGGACCCTTCGCAGAAGTTCCCTCAGTACCTACCTCTTTCTGCAGAGGATAACTTAGGTCCTCTACCTGAAAACTGGGAGATGGCCTATACGGAAAATGGAGAAGTCTACTTTATAGAGTAAAGTATACCCTTCTTTGTACCTGAGTCTGTCTGTCTCTTCCACTGCCTCCCTCTCCCAGCAGCTGCAGATGCGCATAACATCTGAAAGAGCTGATCACTCGCTGATGCTACTCTTGGAAAGATTTAACAACTCTATGTGAAGTGAATTTCTTACTCAAATCCAGGTGTTAATAGTCTTAGAGTTTTCTGTATAGAGAATTATACTTGCTTAGTCACAGGAACAGGTGTGCACAGGCGATACACAAAGTACATTTATGTATCTGTCTACATACTGTTACAAGTGAGATTTGTGTATATTCTTCTGTGATACTGTTTTTACGGTTTACCTAACAGTAGAAATTTCACTCTGTATAAATATAACAGATATAACTGCTTCTAAAAATAATTTAATTGACCTTTTTTGATGATACCTAAAAGTGTGGTGAATATTAGTGATAAAATGAGTCAAAATAGCGTGTGCTCAGAAGGTGACAGCTGTTGGCTGGGAAAATTGCCTTGTCTCAGATTTTCCTGAATGGTTCTAATTCTGGGTGTCTCCTCACTGTTTGCTAAAGTTACTTGTTACTTGCTGAAGGATGTAGAAGTATATGGGTGGACCATCCTAGTCATTGAGCCAGAACAGTTTGAAGACACACAAGGTTAATAATTTCCCCCAAAAGTTGGGTGACTGAATCAGGATTTATGTACATGTCTGTCTGTCTACCTATCTAGATAAAAATATAAGGAATGTGATTAGCCATTAAAATTATAAATTCTTTGGTTATTTTTTCTTAATTTGGTTGTGATTTGCTTACTGTTGAACTTTAGACTTCTTCGTTTGTTTGGGATCTGACTCTACTGTATGTGCAATTTGTAGGCATTTTCTGTGAGTTTCAGTCTTCGTTGTTTCACTGTGATTGTTGAGCAGAAGTACTCAACTTCGATGGGGCATGATTTATCAGTTTTTTGTTTTACTGTAATAGCTAAGAGATCATCGCCTAACCCAAAGTCATAATGACTTCATCCTATAAGACTCTTACAAGTTTTATAGTTCCAACAGTCTTATGTTCCTTATATTTAGGTCTATGTGTTAGGTCTAGTGTTTTTCTTTTTCTTTTTTATTTTCTGTATTTAGGACAGGGCCTACAGGGTTACACTACGTAGATCGTAGATCGGACTTGTAGTAATTCTCCCGTTTTCAGCTTCCCGAGTGCTGAGATTACAGGCACACACCACCACACTCAGTCTCAATTACCGACTCAGCATGCCCTGTGGGCGGAGCTGGCATGGTGCCCTGGGGCTCGAACCCCCGGCCCTAAACAGGCACTTTAGTCTGCTGAGCTCTCAGGCTGGCCCTTCTTTCGTTCATTTTGTGGGACTGAACCCAGGGCCTTCACACTGAGCTGCACCTCCAGGCCCCAGGCTCCTTTCTAGATTTTGGTACAGGTTCTCCCTCAATTGCCCAGTCTTCCTCCCAGCTTCCCAGAGGACCTTGCCTCCACACACACACCTTTATTCTTTGTTTGGAAGTTATGTTCTTAGTGGTTTGTTTATGGTTTACCGTATGAATCTGAGTGGCGGGATACGTGTGTTTTCAGCGGGGGATACACTTTGAGGTAGATCAACAGCAGTGTGGTTTTTCCTGTAATGCTGCAAGCACTCACTGTGTGTTCTGGTCGCACGCTGTAGATCTGCTGTGCAGGCCGAGATGGAAGGCCTGGCCTAGGTGAACAGCACCAGAGGCGGGCACAGTGGAGGAGAGCGTGCGGAGTCTCACACGTGTGTGTGCATTTGTTTCTGTGATGAAGAAGATGCAGTTCTGTGTACAGAATCTGAGATCATCTATTAATAGTTAGATTTAAATAGGGAATGTGTTTTCTAACCATATTATCCATTTCTGTGGGTTTTGAATTTTTTATACTTAACATGTATTATATAATTAGAAAAAGTAGGAAAAATGAGAAAGTCTAATTTTCCTAAGCACAGGAGAGTGGGGAAAGGCTTGTATCTCAGAACAGCCTCTATGAGGAGCTGCATGGTGAGAACTCTGAGCTCTGTGAGAGCGAGCCTGGGGTCCCTGCAGCCAGAGGGCGCCGCCCGCCCGCAGACCAAACTTCCGTCTAGTGCGAATGGGAGGTATGCACGTGGAATGAGGGGGAGCGGGGGTCTCCTGAGAGGCAGAGCAGGGCAGTGATTGTCACCTGGAGAGTCACCACCGGCCAGGCAGGAGGCCTGGGGAAGGAGGAGGTGCCAGCTTGCATCTCATCTCATCTTCCATATCGGTAGACAGAGGAGGTCTGCAAATCCTGCCTGTCAGACTGTCCTGAGAAGTGGTGGAGACACTGAGTGAAGCATTAATGAGTAACAGTGAACTCTCCTTATGATTACTGTTGCGGTTTTCATCATCATCATTTGTGGTTATTACGGAGAAGTTTGAACACCATTAAAATAAAAATAGATGTCAGCTATAAGCTCAGGATTTATGCTTAGCTTTTAAAAAATTGTTGTTTGTTTTTTTTTTTATGAACAGAATATATTTATTGAGAGAAAGAAAGCTCCTGTCCAAGAGAGGGACAGGAGGGGGCCCAAGCGGGTAGTTCCCCGGGAAGCTGTCTCTTCCAAGGACTTTTATAGTGTAAAACCATGTGAGGCTAAGGTAGAGAGAATAGGAACTCGCTTAGGTGGGCAGGAGGTGGGACAAAACTATGGTCAGCCAATGGGATTACATATGAGACAGGGTCTTTTCCTGTTGCGGGTTGGAATGTGGGATAGGGTCTCTTTCTGTTGGGGGTTGGGCTAGTGACTCACTTGGGTCTTTCCAGGTGATTGATACCTATTTAGAATATCAATCCCAGGTGCTACTCGTTTAGCAAAAAATTCCTTCTGAAACTGTTTAGTAAGGAAGAATTGTGCTGAGAAAATAAAGTATAACAGAGACATTCCTGATACAGAATAGTATGTGCAGTTCAAGTGCTGGGAAGGAATGCACAGGTCCCTTGCTGAAGGCTGGACTGAGGATTTTAGAACAGCGAGCTGGATATGTATATGCTCATGGTTCTTGAGCTGTTAGCCTCCAGACCTGGGTCTGGCTTGCAGCAGAGTGCAGTGCTTTGTCAGCTTTCAAAACTGAATTTACTCTCAGCTGATGCCTAACGTTTTTCTTTTTTCTCGGAACTGGGGATTGAACTCAGGCCCTTGCGCTTGCCAGGGAAACACTTATTCCACTGAGCCATCTCCCTAGCTCCTGATGCCTAAGGTTTAAAGGATGGCACAAAGACAGGGTTATGAGGGGGGGATATTCTGTCAGAGGCTGTCAGGTGCTGTAGATACGCGGGGCAAAGGGTGTGGTGCAGTGGCAAAGTGCTTGGGTAGCGTGTACTAGTCCCTCGTTTGCTCCTCAGTGCCACTAAACAAATAAATATGCTGTTTGGATTTTAGCTTAAGTTATATATCATGGTTACTGAAGTTTTCAAGTTTTTTTCATTCTGAAAAACAATTTTTTTAGTGTTTTATATTGAATAGCAAGTTTCATTTCAGTAGAATTAGAGTATGTATATATGTGTGTATTAGTTTTACAGTTTGGGAAAAATCTAAAATGCTGCAAGTGGAAAAGCACATTTAAAAATCAAGCATGGACTTAGAAACCTTAGAAATTGTATAGAAAATGAATCTAAGAAAATTGAAAAGGTAAGCACATAAAGCCAACTGCTCTAGAGGGAGAGCGTCAGAAGAGTGTCAACTTGTTCCCGGAGTTTTGTTTTTGTCATTGAGCCCTGAGTTGGGGCTAGAGAAGCCAGCAGCCCAGAAGTAGCCATGAATACACACACTGCAAGTCTCTAGCTGAAGGCTCAGGAAGGTGTACTCTCAGACAGGAGGTTTTGCTGAACACGCGTTGTACTCCAGGCCACAGCCAGAACAACCATGGCCCCACCCTGCCCCATCCGCCGCAGTCAGGCGAAAACAAAGCCTCCCCTACTGGGGTGCTGCTGGCAGGGAGCTGCAGTGAGATGGGAACCATCCTGGCCCCCCTGGACTCTGTGAGGACCCCTGAAGGGAGGCTGGACTCCCACCCCACCTACAGGAATCCGCACTTTCTGGAGTCAGGGTTGTTGGCACTGCCAGCGGTTACGTCCAGCCCCTTCCCGCCCGGTGCTTTGGTTTCAGTCAGGCCTGCTGGGAAGCTGGCATTGCCTTCCCATCCAGCCGGTGTCACCATCCACAAAGAGCCAGATGAGACCCAGCTAGAGTAACGAGTAGCTAGCTCCTCCTTTTCTGTCTGGGCCAGTCAGGGAAAGCTATCAAAAATTGAAGGTTTAAATAACACCCATCGTTCTGTGCTGTCATATCCCAATAGCCAGAAAAAGCAAAAAATAAATTTGTGTACCAAGATCCGAGAAAGTTTCAAACTGAGTAAAAAAGCTATCAGCAGATGTCAACACCAAGATGATGGAGATGTTAGAATTATTTAACAAAAATTTCAACTAGCCATTACAAAAATATTTTAAGAAGAATAGTAGCCATGCTTGAAATAAACAGAAGAATAGAATGTTTCAGCAAAAATAGTGTTAGGAAGACAACAGCAGATACACAAAGGAGAAATGCTTGAACTCCAGAGCACCACATCAAAATAAAATGCTCTGTGGGTAGATTTAGCATCACCCTGTTGTTCAGTGAAGAATGGAAGGGAGAGCAGCAGGAACCGTAGCTTGAAGACAGCAGATGGAACTTCCCGGATATGAGCAGCACAAAAATGACCGAGGAAAAGGAAAGGAACCTCCAGGGGCTTCCAGCAGGCAAGAAAAGCCAAACATTCATCATTGGAGCTCTAGACGAAGAAGTGGTGAGACTGGCAGAAGGAGAAGTTCTTGAAGAACTTACACCCGAAACTCCTCCAGAGGGCGGCCAGATAGCTCAGCAGACTAGGGCACATACTTAGGCAGAGTTCAGGGGCCGGGATTCGACCCCTGGCCTGCTGTGCCAGCCCCTCCCATGCGGTGCACCGAGATGGCAAATGAGAC